TTGTGATGATTAGACCTTTGATATTGTGATTATAAACGTTGATGAATAGAAACGTCTCTACTCATTCCACACGAACAGATCACTTCCGGACACAGTGCTAGCTGCTTACAAACAGAAACTTTGAGTGAGATAATGAGATAAAATATACAGCTAGAAATCAAGACCGGATTTTCATCAAGTCAAATGCTTCAGCACAAGGGTTCTATTTATAGAACCACTTATGTGGGCTGCAAGCTAAAAGCCCAATTAAGGCTGCAAGCTAAAAGCCCAATTAAGCATACGAGTACCATACCTTAAGATATACCACATATCACTTAAATGCGTGGTACCTTACAACATTCCATATTTCACTTAAGTGCACCGCACCTTACGGTGTTCCTTATTTACTTTATCTCTCATTAACTTGTCCTTATGTGTGTGACCCTGTAGGTTTTTGTGACGTTGCAAATGATATTAAATTACACATTTAACATAATAAATAGTGAGCGGTATCTAGCAACACATCACTGCTACCCAAGTCATGAAAATATCATGTGATCTGAAAAAACCTTTTTGTGATAATATTTGTGTGTATAATTACCCTTTTGCCCTTATATCTATATTGAACACAAGGCATAAACCGTGTCATCCTTGTCTAGTTCAATATTGGGTCCTTAGACATTTATCATGTTATGCAGGATGGACAAATTCCATCTAGGTCACTCATGTCCCTCAGCATGCTTTGTGAAGTACCCATCAATTGTCTTTATGGTCATCCAGTTACGGATAGCGTTTGATCAGCAATAAAGTACTTAACTCCACATCTAAGGTCCATAGTGGTTTCAGGTCAAAGGGTGGTATACACCATTATCACCATGAGAATAACTTATGAAACCTTGCATAACATTCTATGTAGTATTCTCATAGCGGGTCAATCCAGTATAAATATTACTCATAATATTCATACCTATGTCAAGACTTGATAACTCCTTATCCATGATCCATGAGGTGTGATCATCAGTCTATCTTCATAATAATCACAACGCTTTAATGTTATCCCACTTTGCAATAAAGCTCGACTACAGTTATTTTAGGAATAGTGTTCTTATGTTTAATGGGATCTCATGATTAAGTCACACTTAATATTTCATTAAACAAACGAACTATTCTAGGGACTCTATTATTTTGGAAAAGAAAACATAATAAAGAAATACCTTTTATTATTAATAAATAATTTGATACAAGTACCCAAAGTATTGGCCTCTATGGCTTACACCAATAATTCATTATGCAGAAAACAGAAAAAGTTCAGAGAACACTGACCTCTGAATCTCTGAGACGTCTTGAAGAACTCTCATCTTCATCTTCAACCTTTCTCTCGAGGCTCCCTCGGCACCTTCTTTCAATCTTCATCCTCAACATCACCTTCATCTTTGAGTTCCTTTGGACTGCAAGCTTCACATACTTTTCAATCTTTAACATCACTTCACTGTGTCTTAAATCCTTCACCATTCTATATCAATCTTGCTCCATGCTCCAAGCCTCTTCAAGCAACAATACGCCCCTAGAACAAATATTGAATCCACAACCACGTCAGTTTTCTTCTATGCTCCTTCAACACAACGACACAAATATGCAAACATAGACAGCAACAATTCTTAGAAAATGCAAGATATTGAGTAGAAGAAGAATCAAAGACGAGGTCGCAACTTTCGAGGATGCACCGGACAATTCTCCGGTAGGTAAAAATTCTTCGATTCTTCTATAATTTATGGTCGTTAGCTTGAATTTTATTTTGTAGCAAATCAAATCCGTGGAGTTGGAAACAAAGCGGAGTAGACGTGTATTGGCTATATGATGTCGCTGATGAAGTTGAGGTGAAATACTAAGAATATGAATAAAGACCAAGCTTCGAAGAAGATCAGAAGTGAGATGTTTTTGAATCGGAACGGTGAATAAGATGAAGATGGAATCGAAGTTGAGACCATGGCGGAACCACAATTGAAGTCAGTCGACAAAGAGGAACACGCCACTCAAGCGTACGACGGAGACACTGATTTAGAATGAAAAAGAGCGCCGCTGAGATGTTGAAGATACTTTGTGATGTTGTACGACGGCAGAGGGAATCCCCTAATCAAAGAGCTCAAGAGTCACAGATTTTTGGAACCCTATCTCCTTACCAAACGCATCGTCTTATTTGTTTTATTTATTTTCATTTTTTGTTATTTTATAATAGTATAATGAAAGAAGGGAATAAAAAAAATATAAAAAGCTGAGAAAGATTAAGGTGGGAATTTGGTATTAATTGTTGGATTAGATTGGGTTGAACCAAAATCCTTCTAGGTCCATCACCACAGTTTTTTTTTTGAAAGCTTCTGTCTTGCCAAAAAACTGAACTGCATCGGCTTCATTAAGTGGGCCTCATACCTATGCCTCTTCTACTGACCATACACCTCCATCCAGAATTTACACTCCCTGACTCTCTCTATTTCTTTTTTTAATTTTTTTTCTTGTTCAATTTTCTTTTAATAAAAAATATTAATTAGTGTAAATAAAAAGAACAATTAAAAATATTAGAACATAATAGAATTTTCTCTAGATTTTCTTATTTTAGAATTTTTGTTAGAATTTTCTATTATAGTTATGTTTAAATAATCATTTTGTTATCGAGGCTTGTGGTTCACATTCGCTTGTTGAGTTGAGTCTTAAGCAGATTCATTGTTTGATACGTAGACACGTTCGATTTTCCGATTGTAATTTATTTTCACATTGATGATGCTTTAACACCTATTCCGAGTATTCGATCTATGACTGTTTGTTTATTGATGTCAGCTTGGGCGAAGTATTTCAGGTTTCTTTGCTTTGGTTGTGCTTTTTGTGGACACTATTGTTCATTTGGTACAATACTGCTTCTAGTTTATATTTCCGCACTTTATTGCTTTTTAGAAATCATGCGAAGTAAGAAGCAGGAAATAAAGAGCATGCGCTCGAAGTCGGTGTTTAAAGTCATGTAGCAGGCACCGCTTTCTGTATGCTATTTGTATTTTTTTTTAAATCCTACCTTTGAAGTAGGTATTATACACGTGTATTTACATTTGTGCCCGCATATATTACAGATGATAAGTCATCAAAAGCAGGCAAGCAAGGAGGGTCTGTAATCGACCCCCCGAATATTCTAGTCTGTGTCGTCCTTAGCTCACGTTGTACGTCAATGTTTTGGAGTCGTGCATATCTTATGTTATGTATCGAGTCAGTCATGTGGGGAAGGGATTTGTAATCAAACCCCCACACTTTGTCAGGAGTTTGCAATGACCGATGCTGACACTCCGTGGCCATTCATATTGTCTTCTGTCACCTACCTCAATCTCCTATATCTTGGTTAGGTGTTCAGTCGTTTTGGACACCATATTTTTATTTCATCTGTCTCCCGCTTGTTTGCTTCGGGTGATACGTTTCCCTTAGCTAAAACATTTCTCTTACTTCCCCTATCCCTTTGAGTCATTACATGTTTATCAGACCATCATTTATAGAGTATGAATCCATTCTTCAATTGGTTGACATTTACATAGTTACAAATATAGGCTAATAATATGCACCAATTTTAAGCATTGATTTGTACTTATAGTAAACAGTACAACTGATTCTCTAACTTTAATTATATAAAACAGTAACAAAAGAAAGATTTAGAGATGAACATTAAAATGAATAGTCAACAGTCCTTCATTACGGTTAACAATCTACAACTGTTAAGTTGAGAAATAAACTGAAAAATAAAAGGAACTCTTAGATTAATATACTTGATCAAGAGAGTATTAAGTCTTTACCGTTAGTTGGATTTTGTTAAAAAAATTATACAGTTTAGTAAAAAATAAATTTTATAGTGAATAATTATAAAACAACAGCAAAAGAAAAATTTACAAAGTGGAGATTAAAATGAACAATCTACAGTTGATATCTGATATATACATGCACATCTACCTGTGAATTTATGTCTACAAGGACCTTCATTACGATGGACAATCTATAGCTGTTAAATTGAGAAATAAAATGAGAAATGAAAAAGAACTCTTAGATTAATATACTTAACCAAGAGAGTATCAAATTTTTAATGTTAATCTGATTTTGTTAAAAAGATTCTACAATTTAATCAAAAATGAATTATTTAGTGAATTAATACAAAACAAAAAAAAAATTTTAAATATGAACATTAAAATGAACAATCTAAAACTAATATCTCATAGATACGTTCACATCTACCTGTGAATCTATGCCTATAAGGATCATCCAATAAATTTAGTCACTTTTTCATTGACATCAACAAAAACTGAAGAGTAGACCAAGTAGTTTCTTTCACAGTCAGCAACTTCCGAGACCTCTACCTCCAATCATGGAGCCTACTCGATTTAGACTTATCTAGTAAAATAAGCTTTTGTGTATATGTTTGATTTACTTGACCTTATTAAAATGACTTCGAAGAATTGGAATATTCTACAACATAAGCATTAAAAAGAGAATCACAAAATTTACTTATAAAAAGATGATAAATGCTTATATCATGTTTGTAATCATCATGTTTATTCAAACATGCTATAAGCTATCACATAGAACAAAACAATTAGTGATTCTTGTTTCTATAAATTATTAATTACTAATATTTATTAAGCTTGCTTATTTTATGTCACAATATCCTATAACAAAAATTAGTTGTTTCAAAATTATTGGAAAAGTTTCGAAATCACACAACTGAGTCAAGTTATTCTATTGGAAAGGTTTCAAACCACTTTGAATAATTTTAGAGGATAGTTTTTTTGTTCATATGTAATATGAGGATTTAAACTTAACATGCAATTAAGCAAAACCACATAGTCTTCTCAAGCACAAGTGTCTTGTTAATCGTGTCAGCAACAGAACCACATAGAAATAAGGAAAATTAAAATTGAATTATGGTGTTCTTCCTACAGTATTGAGTGTTGACATACGCAGGAAGACGAAAAGGTTATACCTGCTACGATTTTTTAGTTTTACAGAATCCATAAGCTTTCCTTTCCTGGTACAATTGTTTCATCTAATAACATCACCTACATAAAAAAAACAAAAAAAAAAAACTCTCTGAGTCATGATGCTACATTAAATATTCAAATTTTTAACAAAATAGCACTTCAATCTCTCTCTGAGTCATGAATTAGTTTAGTCAGCAATACATCATATAAGCAAATAAGAAAAAAGTTAACAGACAATGAAGAAAGATGAAAACGGGTTGCAAAATATTTCAGTTCAGATGAAGGAAGAAGAAAACAAATTGTCTGAAACAATAATCAGCCGAAGAGAAGAAAAACGTTTACAAATTACCTGAAAACTTTTCTTTGCTAATTAGAAGGTTAGTAATCGATTGATCTTCATTTCAATTCTCATTCTTGATATAAAGAGATTATAAATGAAAGGTCAGTGAAATTGAAAATTGAAAATTTTTACAACTTTTACCAAATTTTATAATTTTTTTAAATGAGATGAATTAAATATGAATTTTTTAAATTTCAAAAGATATCGATGAAAGTAATATAAATCTCGACTTTTTTTTCAAAAAACTTTATATAATGCTTTAAGCATGTCTGCAAAATAATCATTCGAAAATACACATCAATTTATCAGTAGGGACTAGAACTATGTGTATAATAATTTTGTAGAGACTAAAACATACATGTTTTTTTATAGGGACCAAAAACAAAATTTAGTAATTTATAAGACCAAAAATATATTTAACCCATAAATAAAACAAACATATTTATAACATATCAATGTATCTAAGAATCTACGTAATACATAAAACTCAATTCTTCGATCCAATAAACTGATACTCAAATGCTAAATTATGAATCAAAAACTAAAATTTCAGGGACATTAACATTATAACATCATCATCAAACATCAAATTCCAATAGTAAAAAAAAAAACACACCACATACTGAACAAAGCAATATGAACACAATCAACACTTCAATAGACAACAAACAACCAATTCAAGCATATCCCATGACATCACAGAAAAAACTCATCTAAAATTTAGCATCTTAATCTCAAACACACAATGAAAAAATCACAAACATCAAAATTCAAATTAACAGAACTCACCACATCAACATATTTGTTGTTTGGATTTTCCTTCTTGAAAGTCTCTCTGAACTTAGACTTAAAACAATAACAAAATCACGCAACTAAAATCAGAAGGTAGATCTTAAATCTCAGAACATTTCCAAATTGATACGAAAGGAAGAACGAAATTGTAATAGTACCTGGGATGATGTCCTCCGTCGAGTGGTGAAGTTGTTTATTCCGTCTTCGTCTGCTTCTACTTTATGCAAATAGTGCAAGCTAAGTCTTCTGTATTCCTTCACTACAATTTTGTGTAAATGGGTAATTGGAAATTAATGATTTTATGAGAGTTTTTAATTGATGATTTTTGGACAAAGTATAGTTTGAGTCTTTTAATTGTTTAAATGACATATTAGAGAATTAACGAAAATCTTACTAATAAAAAATATGTATTAAATAATAAACTAACTAGTACATTCTACGTCACTATATAAACTAACTAGCACTGGTTAGCATTTCCATTATTATTATTATTATTATTATTAATTTCATTAGTGCGTGTGGCGGTAGCATTTGTTGTGTGATAATAATCTTCTAATAGAAGCTTTCTGAATCTGGGCCACTTTCAATGGCGCCCATCACTTTGTATTTGGGCCTAGCACTGCTTTTGAAACGCATCGTTCCCAAATTCTTTTTAGAAAATTGCGGTGTAACTTAAAATTGGTGGATAAATCAACTTCTTCATGAACTTGATGCTTCTAGTGTGGATATAGTTGAGAAAGAAAACAAACGATTGTTACAAACACAAGAGTTCAGACAAACGTAACAACATATATTTATAATTGCTGTCGTGAAATACGAAATAAAGTTTCTATAATATACATCATGATTCATGAGTAGTACTATATTTAAAACTAAAAAGAACTAAGCAAAAGCTTCCCTTGTAGGCCGAACTCTAAAAATCAGCTCCAAATCAGGGGGTATGAAGTAACCATTTTTTGGTGGAACTTTCATCTTCGTTGAACTAATCGCCGCCTTCTTTTTTGGTGCTCCTGGACATGCTACGGCTGACAGTATCCGAGATCCACTGTGTCTTGGTGTTCGACAACCTTCTTCCATGTCCAATTTCATTGCCATATATCTGAGAGGGTTTTCTTTTTCTTATTTGGTTTATTTGAAAATATGAAATAAGGGTTGTAAGTTGTTATTTATAGCGGCGGGGTTTTGGGGGTAATTTGGGTTACTTGTTGAGGAAGTTGATAGTGAGGTTTTGTTTTTGGGGGAAAATGCGTAAGCTTGTGTTGGAATCTAATGAGAGTCCATGTGGCAAAAAGACCATGATCTTGGGATTGTATTGGGGTGTGGGACCCAAGTGTAAAAGACATAGGATTTTCTGATTGATACTAGTTGTTTTGGAATTGAAGTGTACGAGAAAAGTTTCAATGTTGGTTTCAAATTTAGGCCGTATGGTTTTGGCGGGAGGAAGTTATGAGATTAATGGACTTGGACCCATATTTCTGTATAATGGACTCATGTTGAATATCACCGTCAAAACAACCTTAGCCGTCGATGTTTCATCATAAATATAAATTATTGAGAATTTTTTAATGTATTCTAAGTGTTTTTTAGGCATCAGTGTGAATTTCTAAATATGTTTTCTGAAGTCGAAAATGTATTTTCAATGCATATCCTATTATATGAAGAAAAAAAATATATTTAAATCGGAAGTACACTTACGGTTTCCAAACCGATGTTGTATTTCTGATTACACTTTAAATGAATTAAATAGTTACACTGTGAGAAGTCACACCCTACCACGATGATACGAATCGGAAATGCAACACCAGTTCCAAACTGTAAGTGTAGTTCCGATTTGTATTTTGACATATATTTGCATTACTTCTTCCCCTTCCTCATTTGCTGCAAACACAAATACAAAATACAAAACCTCCCAAAATCTCATTGTTCTAAAATACTCATTGTTTCAAATTCCATCAATTTATCGCAACACAGAAAAAAAATCAACAGGCATAATCAGAATCAACCAAGGAAAATCATCATTGCAAGTTGTTTTTTAACATTATTGAGTTTTCTTGATTTTACATACAAGTTGTATTTTAGGATAGTAAAATGTAGCTTTTTTAGTTCTTGCAATGTTTGAAGTCAATACGGAAGTGTCAGTCATGTCTTTTTGACGATCAATGACTGTTTTTTGTCCTCTTTGGGGGTCAGCTTCGCCATTGACGAACCTGTTAAGTTGCAGGTCATACCGAATATGTATTTTCGGTTTTATTTGAGACTAAAACCGGAAGTATACTTTCGATTATGCACCAGACAGTTTTTTCACTATTTTTATACAAGAGTGTTATTATTTAATACTTGTTTCATTTATTCTACATGTATTATGGTTGGGAGACCATCCAAATTGCGACACGGGAAACTATCATAACATGCTTTCGTGCGTAGGGAAAGGATTCGGGCTTTTCAGGCTCCTAGACAGGTTGTGTCAGATGCGCTCATTGACGATGGTGTTTCTACTTCCACTCGATCGACCAGCAGGCGAGAGTCTCCTGTCCATCCATCTCCGCCTCCATCGTCCCACAGACGTATGTCCTCTCCGTAAGTATTCGGACCAGGAGTGACATCCAGTTCCCACCCACGGACTTCACCACATTCAGTCCATACATCTCCACCTCCTTCCTCCCACAGACGCCCTATGGTCTTTGAGACAGGAGAGACTTCTTCTTCCCAGCTGACACCTACTCCCACCTAGCCTACACCGACTCCCGCCCAACAGACACTAGAGGCCACCCAGTCTGCACTGGAGACCCATCCACAGCTTGCATCAGAGACGGCACCAAAGGCAGCACCAGAGGCGCCTCAGGGTTTTGGAGGAGGACCTTCTAATTTGTCATTATTGTCGTTGTATCTGATCCATGTTTCCAGATACTTATGGAACAGAGAGGTAAATATTTCATTTAATAATTTTTACATATTGTGTTTTTTTTTGTTAAGTATTGTATTCATTTAAGTCTTGGGTGTTTATCTATGTATGCAGGACCACGATCCACTCAAGATGATTAACCTTGCTAGGAAGATTAGTCATCTGGTACCATCCACCGAGCCATGGTTCCAGGAGCTGATGCACATCACTGGGCTGCGTGATTTGGTCTTATATGAATATACTATCGTTAATCATGGTATGATTAATGCTTTTGTTAAGAAATGGCATCACGAGACATCGTTGTTCCACCTGCCACATGGTGAGATGACAATCACACTGGACGATGTCACGTGTTTGTTGCATCTTCTGATTAGAGGAAGGTTTTTAGATCATGAGAGGTGCACCAAAGAGGGGGCGATGGATATGTTGGTGGCGTACTTATGAGTTACTCCAGAGGATGTTATGGCTGAGATTAAAAAAATTTATGGATATCATGTCAGATTTAGCTACTTGCAGAATCTGTTCAGAACTGAGCTAGGGCGTGCACAACAGGTTGTTGGTGAGTAGCCCAGCGCACAACACGTGCTATGAGGGCATATCTTTTGTATCTGGTTGGCACGGAGATTTTTATGGACACTAGTGTCACTTACATTGATATCATGTACCTGCGGTTCTTTGACGATTTTCAACAGATCACTGAGTGGAACTGGAGGCAGCTTGTTTGGTGTATTTGTACCAGAAGTTATCCGAAGGCATTAAGTGGAATACAAAGCATATGACTGGAAGCGTCACACTTTTGACGATAACATTTCTTATTCTTATGTTATTTTTATCTTGTTATGTAAATTACTTTGATGTTGTTACTTACTAATGACGATAACATTTCAGGCCTGGATTCTACAGCATTTCCCTCACATATCTGGATGGCCACTTGAGCATACGTATATTAAGGTTCAGCCATGTGCCGCTTCATTTGACCCACTCTGAGGAAACCAGACAGAAGAGTCATTCCGAGTGTATATAGACCGCCTAGCCTATGAGGATATATGTTTCCATGCATACGAGGCTCACCGTGAGACAGTTATTTTTGACGATATTGTGTTGTTCACTGGGTAGTTAGCATGCGGGTCACGCAAGACAGCTGCTTATTTTCCTGAGCACATGATGCGGAAGTTCGAATATATACAACACATTCCCAGATCACCCTCTGAGTGTTCCTCTCCCATGATGAAACGAAGGGATATGAATAACATATTTGATGATTATCTTAACCATCTCGTGTCGGATGAGGCCAGGAGTACCATAACACTAAAAGATTGGAGTTATGAGGATGGATATACCTTATGGTTCTTCAAGGTGTCACATCCATATCTGGTACATGAGGATCCAGGTAACTCACCTAGACCAACACATGTGGAGCTTCTAGAGGAGGAGCAGGCTAGGACCGATTATGCTCATGATGTGTTGCCTAGGTGTCGTTGTATGATGGAGATTGCGCAGGGGGTATTGATGGAGGTTTGTTTCCTGATGGCTCTGATGTTAGAGGCGTTCTAGATGTCATCATGACAGAGGCTGGGGAGGCTATGTGTTACAGACGGCAGCGGAGGAATGTCGCGAATATCACAAGCCGACTCATTATTCGTCATACTCAGTAGTCTGATAGTTTTAGATGCATTTTGTTTATAGTACTATTATGTTCTTCATATTTTAGATTATTTGGATAACACTTTGAGAAATATTTCGCGTATCGTATTTTGGAACATAATATTTATGAGCATTTGTACGTATTTTGTGATTACTTCGTATTTAATCCAAATAGTACTTTACTATGTATTTTGTAAATGTACCAAAACTTGTATAATAATATGGTCTGAGGTGTCTGTACAGGAACCAGAAATGCATATTTGGTATCAAATCATAGTTGCATTTCCGATTTCAAACATGATTTTTCAAAAAAAAAGGTGTGCCCCAGAAATGCACTTCTGAAAAATATTTTTGGTTATTCATAGATTTTTCCCCCTATCTAAGATGCCATAAGAAATTCTCTAAACTATTTATTTGAAGTTTAATTACAATTAATCTTAACGTGAATTCATATTTTTTTAAAGAATGTTTCAAATGAGTTTTTTAGATAAGTAATTAATAAAATATTTTTTCTGTTTTAAAATAAGTGTCATTTAAGATTTTTGCACACGAATTAAATAATACAATAATATTGTCATAAGATATTGTACTTTTGCTAAACTAATTTTATTAATATGTTAGAAATAGTATACAGACTAATAATTAAATGACATAATTAAAAAAATAGCAATCATTACTACATTAAAAAACGTAATGATATTTATTTTAAAATAATTTTTTTCTTTTAAAATGACACATTTTAAAATGCAGAGAATATAGTTGTGACTAAGAATGACAAAAAAAAAAGGTTCATATCCGCGTGTATCTTTCTATCCATCCGATATCCATGTACAAATTATTTTTATTCAACAAAATGGATAATAGTTAGTAACTATTACCCGTACCGTATTTATGGATATTCATTGCATTTCTATTTCTAAGGAGAGATTTATTAAATTATTAATCATAAAAAAATAATCAATGTCTTGATACTAATTTCAATGATAATGATGGGACTTCATTTTAAATGACACATTTAGAGTTCATTATGATTTAGACAGTTGATAGTCTTCATTCAAGAGAAAAATAGATCTCACAGTTAGACTCTATTTGATAAAATTAGCGGTTGGGTGATAAGTTGGTTTATATTTTATAGTTTATGACTGATAGTTTATATCTTATAGTTTATGGCTCATAGTTTAAACTTTATAAGTTATGGCTTATATTTGATGATTGATAAGTAGTGTAAAGGATAAAAAGTAAAAGTAAAATTGGAAAAATAGTAATCATTATTACATTGAAAAATGAAAACACCAATCATTTTAAACAAAATTTATTTGTTAAAACGATATTCATTTTAAAACGGAGGAAGTATCATTTTAAAGAATGTTACAAACACTTTTTTTTGTCGATCACTATCCTTGGTTTTTTTATGGGGTGAAATATACGTGTGTAATACGGTGGAAGAACTAACTTGGGTGTTTTGCGTTTTATCGCAATTGTTGCGGATAGCAAGAGTCACCACCGACTTTTCTTTTATCCAATAAAGGAAAGGGTGAAAAGAACAGGA